GGGTGATGGGTACATGGAGAGACTGTTATATTATTTTACTTTTTTATATGTTTGAAAATTTCTCATAGTTAAAAGTTGAAAAGAAGAAGAAAACAAAAAAATTCAGGAGCTATTCCAATTTTTGTGTAATTTAGGTATGAAGCATCACTATTCCTATGTAAAGAAGAAAAGTTCTCTGATTTTTCAGGAGGAACAAATATCAGGGGAAAGAGAACTTTACAAATACAACAGCACAGTAAAAAATCTGAGGTAAGTAAAGACTTGGAAATTTTTCTTTCACCCTCATGTGTCGTCCTTAGCCCCCCAAACATTTTGTTACATTTATTCCAAGTAAAAATAGCAGTCTTAGATATTATACTACTTCTTTCTCTTCCTCTTCTTCATTCTCCTCCTTTTTCTGTTTTAAAAGATAGAACTAGGAATCCTTTCAGAAGATTATGAAATTTTCATCCTTCTTTCTCCACAGTACTTTGCATATGTGGTCCAAGCCTGTGTATGTTGCCAAGAGTCTGGTGGCTGAGTTATCTTGTTCTTATTATATCATGGGTTTTCCTTGATTTATAAAATCTTTTACCACATATTGGGAGAACATTATTATGATTAGGAGAAGACTAGTTGTATAGTTAAGAAAAGCATGGCTTTTGCAAAAGAACATTGTGTAATTTAGTTAAAATTTTAGTATGTAATTTAATTACAGAAAGCAATTTTACATAAGAAGTATAACTGAGGAGATGAGGTGTGATTAATTACCTTTTAAGAGGTTAATTAGCCAAGAATACTGAATTGCCAATGTGATCTCAGGCACCAACATATTTGCATTTGGTTCTAGATTCTCTCTCCTTTTCTGAAGCTACCAAAGGAGAAGATGACTAGGAGAGAAAACTCTATATCCAAGTTGCCAAATCATTACAGTGTTTACAAGACTTCATCACCCCTTTGTACATCTTCTTCAAATGTTTGGTATTTAAATTATTGTATTTTACTCTTTGAATGTTATCTTCAGTGTTATATATCCCTTCCACGTAAAATATGCCAAATAGTTTGTGCAAACTAAGAGACTGTGCTTTTTTGGCTTGGTGCCTGTAGCTCAGTGCTTAGGGCGCCGGCCACATACACCGAGGCTGGTAGGTTCGAACCTGGCCTTGGCCAGCTAAACAATAATGACAAGTGTAACAAAAAAATAGCCGGGCGTTGTGGTGGGCACCTCAGTTACATGCGAGGCTGAGGCAAGAGAATCGCTTAAGCCCAGGAGTTTGAGGTTGCTGTGAACTGTGACGCTATAGCACTCAACCAAGGGTGACATAGTGAAATTGTCTCAAAAAAAGAGAGAGACTATGCTTTTAGAAAGGGTAGTGTAGAGATAAGAGCACTGTATTTGGAATTTTAAGACTTAGGTTTGAGTCCTGATTGACCTCATGTGATAGTATACCCCAGGAGTCCTCAAACTTTTTAAACAGGGGGCCAGTTCACTGTCCCTCCAACTGTTGGAGGGCTGGACTGTGGGTCCCGGGATGAGTTGACTGATAAGCAGGACAGGCAGTGGTGGCAAAAACATCCTGCAGGCCGGATAAATGTCCTAGGCGGGCTGCATGTGGCCCGCGGGCCATAGTTTGAGGACGCCTGGGTACCCTCTTGTAAAGTTTGTTTTACATCTCTGAGCCTTGCTTTCCAAGAATTGTGTACTTGATGGGCCCTTAAGATTTCTTCTGACACTAACATATGATTTTAGTTATTTGCGCATTACAGTATCAGATGAATCATTTTTTTCCAGACATTTTTACTGATAGTTGGTGAAATCTTGGATTTTTTTGCTGACTAAAGGATGTTCTTGTTTGCCTTATTTCAATAACTTTCAAAAATTTGCTGTAACTTAGATTAAGAAAAGGAAAAACTGGACCATAGCCAAAGGGGAGTGGGTCATGGGCACTATTACTAGGGTATTGTATTTTGCCATGTGTAATGTACACCCATGTTTTTTACCCAGAGTTTCAGGAAAATGCCTTTCGAGATAGTGACTCGCTCTCAGCCAGGAGAGATACATCTGGGGAGAGCTAATGTTCCCATGGTAAACGTGCAGATCATACCACCCTCCTGCCTGCTCTGTGCAGGCTACCCCTTCCCTCTCTCCTGGAAGTCTTTTCCCCCCTGCCATGTCAGGGACAGCAACTGAGATAGCCATGCCTATTTGGGCAAAAAAACCCCGCTCAATATAAATGGCAAAATACAGTTAATTCTGCTTGATAGAAAAATATCATCTGAAAGAAATAAGCCTCAGCAGGTGAATCTTTCTAGGAGTAGAATGTGAACGTTTTAAAGCAATAACTGAGAAAATGACATGAGGGCTGTGTTGACCAGTTTGATGGAAGTATTTCAGATTGCATGTGAAAACCCCACACTGTACCCCAGAAG